CTTGGACCAACCTTTCCTCTTTCCCTGCTGCACCTCCCTAGCATCTGGTAACTCCCGCGTGACTCTCTACTTCCATGAGCTTGAATTCTTAGACCACACGTTAACAGTTTAATCACACAGTTCTTGTCTTTCTGTGCCTGTCACGTAGCACAGCATCCTCTGGATTCATGTGTGTCGTTTCAAAGATAGGATTCTGTTATATTCCAGTGAGTATGGATACATTTCCTGTATCCATTTACCAAGCGATGGGCTCTTCGATTGACTTCCCATCTTGGCTCTTGGGAATGATGTTGAAATGAACACAGAGGCTGTAGATCTTTTCTTTTTTAATCATACTCTCTTCATTTCCTTTGGGTCAATACCCCCAAGTGGAATTGCTGGATCTCATCACGGTAATTCTATTTTTTTTATTTTGGGAACCTTCACACCATTTTCTGACGTGGCTGTATTACATTCCCACCAACAGGGTACGAGGGTTACCTTTTCCCACAGCCTCACCAATCTTTTGACAGTAGCTGTTCTAACAGGTATCAGGTGATCTCTCACTGATTTCCCCCAAGATTAGTGACGCCCAGCACATTTTCATGTATCTGCCAGCTTTTTGTAAGTGATCTTTTGTTTTTGTTTTCGTACCAGGGATCGAACTCGGGTCCTTGCGCTTGCGAGGCAGGCAGCAGAACCACTGAACTAAATCTCTGGCCCTGTAAGTGATCTTTTGAGAACATCTCTTGGGGTCCTTTGCTCACTCATAGCAGAGTTGTTTTGCTGACACTGAGTTCAGTAATTCATATATTTTGGACATGAGCTTCTTACCTGACACATGATGTGTAAATATGTACTCCTGATCTTTGGTTCGTCTTTCTGCTGTCTCATTTGCTGTGCAGAAGTGGTTTTTTTTGGTACCAGGAATCAAACTCGGGTCCTTGCACTTGCAAGGCAGGCAGTGGAACTATTGAGCTAAATCCCTGGCCCAGAAGCTTTTTAATTTCATGGAATCCATTTGTTTCGCTTTGCTTTTATTGCTCTATATCTTCTTTTACTTATTATTTTATTATTATCTTCTTTTATTATATCTTCTTTTATTATAAAGAGCTGTGGGAGCTCGTTACATGTTTTTTATACAAGTCCTTTACCACATACATGTTCTGAAAATATTTCCCCCAAGCTGTGACTTGTCCTTTTATTTTCTTAGAAGTGTATTTTTCCCCAAGTGGTGTTAATTTTGATGAGTCCAATTTATCCATTTTTTTTTCTTTTAGGGCATACATTTGTCTCCCACTTAAGAATCACTGCCTAACTCCAGTATGCTGAGATTTTTCTCCTGTGCTTTCTTTAAGAAGTTTTATAATTTTAGCGCTGGCATTTGGAACTAGGATCTATTTTGAGTTAAATTTTTGAACAGAGCATACAGTAAGAGTGCTAGTTTGTTGCAGCACCATTTAGTAAGAGGACGGTCTTGTCTACACTGAACCCACTCAGCTCTGATGGAAACTTAACTGAGGCAGTCGATGCTGGACTCTTCATTCCGTCTCACTGACCAACACCACAGTGACTTGTATAGCTATACAATAAGTCTTAAAATAAGGTAATTTAAGTCCTGCAATCCTGTTCTTTTTCAAAATTGCTTTTTTTTGAGACAGGGTCTTGTGGCTAATCGCTAAGTTGCCCAGGCTGCACTTAAATTTGTGATTCTCCTGCCAACTGGTCTTGTTTTGAATTTGCAGAACAGTTTGGAGGAACTTACACCTTTACAACAGTGAGCCTTGAGACCCGTAAACATGTCCATCTTTCGATCCATGAAATTGCTCATTTTAGTCTCCAGTTTCTCTCCACGGCCTTTTGTAGGTTCCATGGGATATATCTGGCATACGTTTTGTTACACCATTCAAGAATTTCATTTTTCTTCTGTGAGAATATAAATGTGACTGCTTTTTAGTGATATGGTTGTCATAAAATAAATGGAGCCTACATGAAGTGTATAATTTGATATATTTAAACATACATCAGTAAACACACCACCCAATTAAGAGAATGAACTTATCTGTTTTCTCTCGCTTCATAACTCCGGATGATTATGCTGTAAAACACTCATGTTGCTGCATGGACCAACAGCTCACTCCTGCTACCTACTCAGTCATGTCCCCCTGCAGGGCTGTGCCCCTCTATGTTTAGCCACTAAATTCTTGACAGCCTGCTGGGAATGAAGATGCTTCACTTATCAAATATTACTGAGTACCCGCTGAATTGCAAGTACCTGGGTTAGGCACAGAGGACACAGGCAGTGAAAGAGACAGCCATGGGGACTTCCCTTTGGTGCTGATGTCCCAGAAGGAAAAGCGGACACGAAACAACAAAGCTGCAAGTAATCACTGACTCACAACTAGGTACAGAGTGCCCTAAACCAACCCAAGACTGGAAGCTGTGAGAGCTTCTTTAAGTAGAGCCTGAGTGAGTGTGGAAGGACTCGGGTTTTAAGAAAACAGAAACATTAATCCCAAGGGACTATGATAAGTGCCACAAGGGAGTGGTCCCTAGGGTGCAGATTCGGAGGATCAAACTTAGGACCTCGTGTTTGTGAGGCAGGTGCGGTGCCACTGAGCTAGGATGCAGATTTTTAACAACTGATTTATTTACTCACTTACTCAAGCCTGCTCCCGATTTCTCCAGAAAATTAATCCTAGGCTTTGGCATAAAAACGGGATATAAGTGCACCATCACCTGCTGAATCAACACTAACATGGGAGCCCTCTCCAGGAGAGAAGCGTCCCCCGCATAAAGAACTGAGAATGTCTCTCATGAATCGCAGTAGGATCCTGAACGGAATAATGAAGAGAGTCATAGTCCCAAGGAGAACTGTGGCAGCAGCGACACTGGCCAAGGGCATAACCGCAGGGACGTACTGCCTTGTATCTAACCGCTGAACGGGACTGGGATTTCTCCCCTCCAGCTTCTGGTTGTTACAGATAAAACTCTTCCTGTCCACTGACCAGCACGAGTTCTCAATGGGCACTGCTCAGCGGTAGGGACTCTGTACTCTTACCCAATGCACATGGTAGCTTTAGCCGTGGATACCGTCATTACCAAGAATAAGCCAAGACCCAGAGAGAATAAGCAACTTGCCTGTGGTTATGAACTGGCTGGTGACAGAGAAGAAATCTGGGCATGGAGCTCTCCTCATTTATCCAAAATACTAATTAGTATACAAGAAATAATATTATAAGGATCCTAAAAAGCCACAGGGGTGGGGGTTCCTGAAAATCCATTAGCATCCAAGTAATGTGGAGATGGACAATAATACGCTGCTGCCGGAAATGCCCACTGCTGAGGACCAGAGGCTCACGCTTCTTTCCCTTTTTGGCCGTGGCTTCAGGCAGGTTATCTAAACTGGTTTAGTGGAGCACAGAAGGAGAAAAACAACCCGAGAGTCACAGCTCTTTGTCATGCAAAGGCCAGAGGTACTGTGCTAGGCCCTGGGGCCACCTGCGGGTCTGGGCACACAGGGCAGGAGGGGCAGAAGACTCCTTCCAGAGAGTCCCACGGTGGGGGATGAGCCAGCCTCCTGACTCCGTCCTCTGACCCACAGTGATTCTCGGGCACTGTCGTGGAACGGAACCCCAGCCCACCTTGGTTACAGACTTCCTGTGAACTGACTGGAGATACTGAGGAGCCGTAACTCTGTCCGCACTGGCCACACTTTTCTGAACATCCTTGTTTCCATCTCACTTTTGCCATAAAAATAAACACCAGTAGAGTTGGAAGCCATTGTACCCAACAGACAGAGATGTTGGCAGGAAAACCCAGTCTTTTCTCATGAGTAGGCTAGAGAAATAAGCGGGCAGTTTGCTTTCTTGTTTGTTTGTTTTAAAGGGAGTAATGGTGTACCAAGTGTCATCCGACACCCTACGGAAGATGGTGTAAAAGTCATCTCTATAAAGGAAAATCAATCCCAAAAGATGTATGCACATTTTATTAGCTACACTCATGCCTCTCATCGGCCAGTGTAGTACTGACCAGGGTATCCCACATCAATTTCTTTCAGAACAATTTCTTTTACACTCAGCTGGAGCTATATTCAAAAACAGAATAAAACAGGGAAATCTTAAATGTTTAAATTTCAGTAGGGGTGGTTTCCTGTTTCTTCCCCTTAAAATCCACCTTTGATTTCAGAGTTTCAAAATGAAATTCTACAATAAATACATGAACCAAGTCCAGCTCCACTTAATAACATTTCATGATGTCTTAAGAACTCCTAATTCCACAGACCCTGAGTTGACGAGAGGAAATGATTGCTCCCTCCCAAAGGCTGGCTGACCATGGGGATAAATCTCACCACTCTCTCATGCCAGCCGCAGCAAAGTGATTTATGCACCCCCTGTGCACGGGGCTGATACCACCACTGCCCCCTGCGGCGAGGGCCTGTGCCTCTCATGCAATAGCCTCCCTGACAGGCCACCTCAACTCCCGCTGCCTCTCCCCCGGCCTGGGCTCAGGCACTTTCCCCTGGGGAGACCTTTCTGGTCTCCATACTTAACCCCTGAACCCGGCCTAATCCATCAGCCACACCAAAGGAGCGGTGCTAGAGAATGCTTCTCTCTGAAGACGGGAGGCCAGCCTTGCCACTTAGCCCCAGAGAGCCGGCCGTCAGCTGGCTCTGCACTCTGTCCCTCGGCGTGGCTGGTGTCTGGATTGCTGGTGTCACTTTTACTATTGAGGAGCCCAGCTGCCCCAGCTCAAGGACACAGCCAGTCAGTTAAATCCCACAGACGGGCTTTTGACACTGTCCCTTGGGACTCCCTCTGGGCCCTCCTCACACTTGCCGTTTGGGGACAGGATTGTTAAAGAACAGCTTCCTGATTCAGGCTCTCATGCACAGCTTTTGAACTCTGCTGGAAGAGTTTCGGAACGCTGACTCCGGAGAATGAAATGCCACGTTCTCTGTTCAGGAAAGACCAGCGGTCATGGCCTAGACAGTGAGCCCTGAGACTGTTTCATCTACTCACCTCGTAGCCAAACTGCAGCTCGTCAGAGGTCAGCATGATGATGTCGTCGTCGATGGCCAGCACAGCCTCCGTCTCGATTTCATCGTAAGGGAAGAAGCGGTTGCTCAGCTTGTTTTCAGCAGTCCTCACGACTTTTAATGGAACCCGGATTTTGGGCCAGAGGGAATCTGGAAGAAAATCAGAGCGGGGTATTTACTGCTTGCTGAACGTCTGGGAGGAGATTTAGTGGCAACCAGCAAACTTCTGTCTGTGGCCTTCAGCAAACTCAGAGATAAAACAACTGAGTGAGGGGAGATTCTCACAGGCACATTTTTATAATAATAAATATATGTGTGCATATTTCTACCCTCTCAATCCGTCCAACACTGTGAGTTCCTCAATATTGTCCTAATCAGAATATATAAATTAGCTTCAGATCATAACCGAGGGGCAGAGAAGCAAAACGACTTGTGTTAAATTTAGATCTGTGATGTGTCCAAATCTCGTGTATGTGTGCGTGGTGACTGGATCATGCGTGGGGTGCTGTACTCATCCGAGGGTAAGTGTGGGTCTGAATGTGCCGTTAAGAGGCGGAGTGTGGCTGGAGGTGGTCCCTGGGGTGTGACCTGCAAGGCTGTACTCTTCTGCAGGCTTCGCCCTCCCCTGCTTCCCAGCAGCCATGGGGTGAGCAGCTCTCCTCTGCCAGGCCCTTCTATCCTGCTCTTTCTGCTTTGGAGCCAGCCAACCATGGACTGAACCCACTGGAAACTGTGAGCTAAATCTACCTCTGCTCCTTTAAACTGTGGGTGTCTGTTGGTATTTCGTCCCTGTAACGGGAAAGTGACTAAGACAGTTTGACTGACCTCATGATGACAGCAAGAGTGAGCGTGGACTGCCACAGTCTCAGTCTCTGCCACCTTTGCCACGTCCTCTGCAATGCACTTCCTTGTGGTGAGCCAGCTGCAGGCCTGCCACACTCGAAACTGCAGAGTCCACACAGGGGATGCCGGCCTCACAGGCCTCCAGCCCTGCCACAGCCGGCCCTGCTGCCGACACCCCTCACAGCGGCAGGTTTCCCTGACAAGTGTTACCTTCCTAACTGAGCGCTGCATGCCCTCCCTCCTGATTCACTAGGTCTGGATTCTCATCACGACCAATTTACGGAGTAAATATCACATTTCTAGGTTCAGTTATGTGGAATTTTCTAGGATACCAAAGAAACACCAACCCACGACTTGCCTTACATTTTTTTTTTCTCATCCTACTTTGAAATAACTGGAGCAATTCAACCATGGGTTCTTTATTTTAAAATGCTGCATTCAGCACAGCCCAAAGTTAATGCTTCATTTGTATAGTCCTGATGTTGCGGGCCTCAGGGTTCTTGTTCTTCACATAATATTTGTCAAGTGAGACCAGGAAAGCCAGGTATCTTACTGCTTTCAAAATGTCCATCATGCCATTGTGGGAAGATCTAATTTTTGTGGGTTTTGAGGCCCCGAAATGCCTATGGTGACCATACAGAAAGAGAAGCAAGACAGAGAGAAAGTTAGAGGGGACAAGGCGGTCTTGCTGACGCGGGTAGAAGGTCTGATGTGTGCATATTTACAAATGCCCCCATAATGCATCGCTTCTAAGGAAGACTTACAATTTTACATCCGCCGGTGGCAGCAGAGAGCCTGAGACAACAATGGTCACCTCCAAGAGGAGAACGTCTGGGAGAGGACTGAGCCCTAAACTAAAAATCATCCTTCAGGCCACTGCCTTTTAACTGGTAACAAGAGTTAATTCCAGTTTCATTCACTCATTCATCATGTGTAGGTGCCTCTGGGATGCATGCAGGGGATTGCGGCCAGGAGGCTGCAGACCTGAGTTCTGCATTATCTGTTAGATCTAAGCAAGTCTGACTCTCGGGGGAAGAACAGGCCGAGGACAGCAGCTGTGATACGCAACACAGGTCCTTTTCAGACACAGTGTCATTCAAACCCTCCCACAGCCCCATGGGGCAGAATTTATTATAAAGCAGTATTTACACGGCTAAGAGAGGTGAAGCCACCGCTTCAGTGAGGCACAGCTGCTGGAACCTAAGTCTGTTGGGGATCAAAGGCCAAATGTGACCTGTACCATCCACTCTAGCCTAAGAACGCTAATCCTATTTCTCTAGCATAAAAAAAGATGATCTTTATTCTTCCTTGCTTCAGACAAATAAAATCACTGTCACATACTTATGGTTCCCAGACCTTTATAAAGCACGATTGAGTATAATATCTAAAATGAAGGAGGTTACAGCCCTACCTATTAGACCATGGGTTCTCAGACCTTTTGGTCTCAGAATCCTTCACACTCTGAAAAGCCAAGAGTCCTAGAGTAGTTTAATGTACATCCCAGGGGTGGTTCAGGTGGGCTGCACTGAGCATGCTCAGAATTAAACCTGAGGCGATTCTCCAACTCAAGTGCACATTCCTCAGCCAGGAGACTGACGGTTTCATCTCACACCATGTGCATGCTGGGAAACTCCAATGCACCCTTAGGAGAGAATCAAAATAACTTCCACCTCCCGGGCCACCTGGAAGGAGCTCAGGGACACCTGGGTGCCCATGTCACACTCTGAGAACAGCTGTGCAGGACTCTGCGTTCAGATCTAAAACAAGAACAAGGTCTTGTCTTAGGACAAGGAAGGAGCTGTGGGGATGGTGCAGGCCCAGAATCTGGGATTCCTACAGAGCCTTACGGAGACCAACCAATCACCCATGCAGCGCTTTGCCGAGTTTGCTGCCTCCAGTGTGCAGAGCTGGCCCTGTAACAATCCTCCCTGTGGCTGGCACATGGCAGTGAGCCCTGGCAGCAGAGGGCACTGCAGGGCTGCTGTGAGATGCAGGGGGCTTTTCTTGCTGGTTCCGGTGGGCCCCATGTACTTCCTGCACCTGCAGCACTGGCCAGCAAATCCCTAGGCAAGGGTAACTGCATCCCCGGTGTGAGCTCCTCTCCAGCCCTGGCTGCTTTCCTAGTGGGGCCACTGACCCCAGACCCCCGCTGAACTGCTTGTTTAACCTCGCGGGTACCCCACCCAGAGTGGCTGGTTCCCTGAGGGTGCGGGCCTGGGGCGCCACACATGCTTCTCCATCTGGGGGACCATGGCACTCTTCTAACAGAGGCTGAAACTCAGGCCAGTTGGGGTGCAGGCAGGGGTTGGGGAAGGCTCAGTTTACTCCAGCAATCTTTAGGGCCCTCCTTCCCTGTTAGCAGACAAATCCTGTTATAGGGTAATGATTTTTTTTACATTAAATTTATCCTGTTGCAATTGCTGCGTGGTTTCAGTCTTCTCACCAAATCCTGACTACTACACCAGGGATATCAGAAAGGTTATCGGAGGAAAAAGGAATTCTCTAAGGCTCTCAGAGTTAGAACCGTAACTGATGTCCGTTGAAAGTTCCAGAGAAACTGAGTTAGACTCAGAATAGGTTAGCATTTCCCAATGGCATCATCCATCTGAAGAAGGAATAAAATACACAAGGTACCCTTTTACTTGGCCCGATGTCTATGTGACACCAGCTGAGGGCCAGGTAGGACGCCTCGGTGGGCCCAAGATTCCAGGAAACAGAGACAGAGCAGGGAAAGGACAGTGTGGGGGCAGCACAGGGTCTACCGCTCTCTAGCTAAGCAACCTTGAACAGGTTGGTCACTTTCAACCACTGAGAAAGGACAGCGACCCCACCCTCACAGTGCTTGGCACCCGGCAGGCAAGCACTGAACGTCACTGTGCCTTCCCGTGAAAGCAGGTGCTATTTACAAGGGTAGAGGGTTTCTAAGAGCCTTAAGGAGTGGGAGCAGAGGGGCATGTCCTGACAATCCAGTGACACGGCCCCCAACACCCTCCCCACACCTTCTGGGCCCACTTTTAGATCAGTGCAACTCTGCCGTGGAGCTGAGGCTGTCTCACTTAGTAACGGAAACTGCAGAACATGGAACTTTTGCTGCATGAATTCCACAAGGCAACAAATGGTTTCTTGTCCACACTCCATCCAGAAAGTGGGCTGGCTGCTTTGGCTAAGCAGAAATGCAGACCTACACCGCCAGGAGCCTGGACTTCCGCCCGGGAGTGTGGACAGAATGTTCACCGCCCAGGCCCTTCCACATTCCTTACCTACAGGAAGCCAGCATTCCCAGAGCCTGTGTGCCCCTGTGGAGTCTCTGGTGGGGAGTTTTAGAAAGTGATGAAGGCTGAGGAGGAGGAGGATGTGGGGTCCAGATGGAAATGGAGGATGGGTCATACGTCAGAAATAGGGTGGCTTTCCCTGGTCTAAGTCAGGTCCGGGTCGCCAAAGTCACTCTGACTAAAGCATCAGGGTCTGGTGCTGCACAACCCTGAATCAGGACACAAAGCAGGATGAATTCCCAAACTAAACAGGCTGTGACTGAAATAAAGTCAGTGGGCTCCATTTGAAAGCCATGAGCTTTGGGTCTGGGGAGACCTGTGTTTGTTTCTGTCTCTGCTGTCTGCAGCTTTGTGATTCAGGCAAATTACTAATCTGAGGCTCATTATTCTTCTTCTTACTAATCTGAGGTTCATTCACCTCCTCCCCACCCACCCAGGCGAGGCAAGTGTGGTGCCACTGAGCTAAATCCCCGGCCCTGAGTTTAATTTTTCTAAAGCAGGGATAATAACACCTTCAGGACTACAGAAAATGTGAGCAAATACTCAGCACGGGTCCCATTCCTAGGATAGAGAAGGCAGAAATGAAATGTTTCTAACACTCTCGTGCTGTTATCTTCACAGACGGATTCTCAGGGAGCCCTCTGAACTCCCTTCCCTGCTGACAGCCTGCAGCAGTCTAGACAGAAGGTTACAGGAGACAGAAGAGAGCATCAAAGCCAGAAATCTCCAGACTCTCTTTTGTTGCAAAGTCCAATGGGGGGGGGGTCTCTGCCTCACCCCTTTTACTCTCCAAACAGAACAGCACAAGACACTTGTCTTGGGTCTCATCCTGTGACTCCGCAGCAGGCAAAGTAGAAACACCACCTTCCAGTCATAAAAAGCTAACCTGAAAGCTAGGACTTTCCAAAGACACCACTGAATTTATGAAAAGCAAACAGCTGAGCCAGGTGACCTGATCACTTCACAGTATGAGCTTTAGTCTAGCTCAAAGGAGAAAAAGAACACCTTGTGTCAAGGATTTCTTCTTTTTTTAAAAAGTGTGTTGATGAACAGTTTTCTCCATGTTGGATCCGAGAGAGATGTGAGCAAAAGGGACTTCTCTGCAACTTGGCAACGGTACCGTGAAGTCCTTCGGCCTGCCAAGCACTGCCACCCGCACAGCTAGTGATCGATCGGGTCACCTTGTGTGAACCCGGAGGGCCCTCACTGCTCAGTGTGGACATGGGCCCCGGGACCCCAATTCCCCAGAGTCCCGGAATCCAGCTCAGTGGGAAACAGCCACTGCTTCTGCTCCCTGCTGTCCTGTGCTAACCACCTCGTCCCCCTCAGCCACCTGCGCCCTGGCCAATGGGAATCGTGACAATTACAATCGGAAGCTGAGAGGCCCTGACGTGGTACAACTTTACAAATGAAATCAGTTAAAACCAAAGGCTGACTTCTCTGAAGTGGACAGCGAAAGAGGCCAGGGCAAAGACAAACAACTTCTATTCCCGTCAGGTCTGGAAGCTAAAGAGGTTAGGGGTCCTTTTATTGTGACAGCTTAAAACTAATGTGACGAAAGCATGCTGGAAATTTCTATTGCCTTGTCTAAGTATTTACTTAAACTTCAAACCCAGCAATTTAGACTTAACTGTAACCAAAAGAAAAAAGTATTTGGTTGGGTTGGAAAATGAAAAAAAAAAGAAGAAGAAGAAGAAGAAGTGGGAGGGGGCGATTGCTGCCCATGCTAACCCTCCAGCAGCAGACATGTTAACCACAATATTTCTTTTAGTAAATGTAGAGAAAGTGAAAAACATCATTTTTGCCTCTAATATTTCAAAGCCTTAGACTGGCACTGTTTTTTTACTATGTATGTTACTAATGCTGCCCATGAAAAATCAGATGTGTTGGCTGGCGAAGGGGCAGAGCTGACAGCCTCGTTTACCAACTAAACAAACAGCCCTCAGTGGATTAAACATGGTTCATATTCTACCCAAACAGCCGCATCGTCAGAGCCAGGGCCCTGACCTAAAAGCACTGTTGAAAAGAAGCCAGTCTGTCACCATGCGAGTCACAATAAGGGCCTCATCCGCGGAGGGCACGCCTTCCTCCCGAGAGCCAAAGTATTGGAAAAATAAACTAAACTCTTGGTCACACAAAAGTAACTACTGCGTTAGGGCAGGGTCAACCAAAAGTAAAACTGGACATCCGGCTCCCAAACATGGGCCGGTGCTACTGCGTTTTAGTTACATCAGTGCAGACTCTTGGACCAGAAAGAAGATCTCGCCTTTCTCACCTCTGCCCCAAAAGTGAGTCAAGCTCACAAGAAATAGTTTACCTTATTCCTAAAGTGCCTAACCAAGGTTCCAAGGGGAGGACTCCTTTGTCAGTTTTTAGCTTTTTGTTTTGTTTTGTTTTTTTTTGAGACAGGGGCTTGCTATGTAGTTCAGGCTGGTCTTGAACTCACCATGTAGCCTAGGCTGGCCTCAAACTTGGGGTGATCTGCCTGCCTCAGCCTCCCCAGTACTGGGATTACAAGTATGTGCCACCACGCCTGGCTTTTCAGTTCTAGTTTTGATTAACAAGTGGTGCCTGTGTGTATTACGGGTACAGAGCAATTGTTCAGTACACGTGCACATTGCCGAGGGGTCCGGTCAGAGGCATCAGTGTCCCCATAGCTTCCAGAGGCAGAACCGGTTCTCTGCCTTTCCACTGCCTGCAGAGGCACTCACAGCTGTCCCCGCGCTGGCTGTCTCTGCAGGAATGTGAGTGACTGCGGTATGACACAGGGGGTTCACCCCAAATGCAGGGCCAAGTAGCCAGGCAGGGCCATGGGATCCACTTCTCCAGGGGAAGGCGATCACTGTGGATGGCGGAGTGGCCAGCACAGCCCCTCTTAACTTCCCTCTCTGCCCACATCTTGGAATCCCCTCTACCACGCCCTTCCCCGTCAGTCTCTCTTTCCTTACTGAGGTGATGCCAACACCTTCCCTTCTCTCTGCCCCTTTCCCTCTTTACTAAAATCAGAACAAACGGAATAAAAATCCCAAAAACTGGCCCTGATAACAGTGTTGAAGGAAGGAAAAGTCTCACAGAAAACTGGCTGTTGAGAAAAAACAAAAAGCTGTGCTTCGGGGCGTAATATAGGACTTGCACTCGACAAACGCATAGCATTCACGCTAAGCGTCACTCCCTGAACCTAAGGAGAGAGCATAGGAGTTTTTTCACAGCACGAAGATCTCACGAAGAAGCTTTTGTCAGTGTCTCAGAAGGCACTGAAGAATTTTCCTGAGCAAATTCTGATTTGCCTAGGAGAGGCAGAAACAGGGTCCTCCCAGCCTCCAGGAGAGATGCACCACTGGGAGTCTGCGGGCTGACTGTCCTGGCTTCACATAACCAATTAAAAGCACCAGCCATAAAAAGTACAGATACTATTGTCAGGTAATAAACTAGACCTTATCGGTGACCGTGGTGCACATTACAAACTTCAAACTCATTCCTCGCTCTAATCCATCAGAAACTTCCTGGCTTTAATAGGCTATAAATGGCAGGATCTTTGAAGTCCCTAGGATTAGGACCAGTAACAGACAGACCAAATGAGAAACTAAATGCAGGTGGAACGTACTCTATATATCCCGAATTAAAAACAAATCCAATTAATCAAATAGTCCTCAACCCTAGCCACCAGCCAGCCAGCCGCTTGCAGGGGTGGCCATGGCACGGGACAGCGTGACTGGGGGGGACCAATGGCAGCCTCAGAGGAGCTTGCCCAGGGTGCCCTGCTGGCCCCGTCCCAATCAGAAGCCAGGCCATCCTTTTAGGGTTTTTTTCTTTCTTTCTTTCTTAAGGGGAGGCAGTATCAGCAGAGATAAGGAAGGAGAAAACTAATGCCTTTTAAACTGAGATTTCATGTAAACAAATAGGCTGAATGGCTGAGGGGAGTGGAGCCCTGCTTTCCCAAGGCTGGAGCCTTTGATCCTCCTGACTCCTGAGCCCTCAGACACTTGTGGCTGCAGAGGATGCCAGGGCTTGCAGCTAAGCGGGCCACCCTCAGGCACAGATATGATGACAGAGAGCCGGCTGGGCTCCTTGGGGCCTTGCCGGCTGCTGACAAAGCAGGAGAATCCGTCTCAGATAGAGAGGCCAGTCCTGAAGGTGGTCGTGCAAAGTCAGCAAAGCTGAGAACCACATCCCCGCCCAAGCCAGGCACCCCGGAGGGGAGGCAGCCTTTCCACACTGTCCTTACCTTCCGGGGGGTTTTTATTCTGGTTATTCCAGACGACCAGCAGCTTGGACAGACTGGGCACCTTGGACACCTCGGTGATGACCCGGAAGAGGCTCTCCACTCGGTCGTAGGTGAGGACGATGGCGGTGAAGCCTTGCGACTGCGGTGGGATCAGTGGGAGGAAGAGCGGGTTGCTCACGCTGCTCCACTTCTGCGAGGACAGAGGAGGGCGGATGAGCATGGGGCGGGCAGAACCCGGCATCCTCAGCACACCCAGCAGTGGCCAGTCGGGGAGCTGAGCAAGTCCGCGTCTCCTGTCCTCCAGGTTGGTACAGACCGCCGAGGGCGCTCAGGCTCTATACCATCAAAAACAGCGGAGAACTCTGTGGCTGAGACCAAAGGCAGGCACAGACCTCCATGCCCTCCCTCACCACTACATGGGCGGCTGAGGAACACAAAAAGCCACTCCAGGGCCACAAAGATGGGAGAAGAGACACCAGCCAGGGACAGAGCGAAAGGGCTTCAGAAGGTTACGAGTGGAGCAGCCGGTGGGCACCCCACAGAAGATCAGGAGCAACTCACCAGGCCTGGCCAGGTAAGAGGTGGGGCACAGGCTGCTTAAAAATCAGAAGCAGGTAGACACATAGAAAACGACTCTTGGAGAGCAGAAGTTCATTCCTTGAGGAAACTGAAGCTCCAGACACTGGCACAGCCAAGGACAGACAGGCTAAAAGTAGTTTTTTCTTTTTCATTTTATTTGTATTAAGCATTACATGGCACACAAACCTGCATGCTATGTAACCTTCTGGCGGCAGTTTTTTTTTTTTTTAATCCATCAGGAAAATGCTTCCTTAATCAACACCCCAAAGACCACTCAACACACAGCAAATATCAACTGCAGAGATAAGCCTGCCTCTTTCCGCCAAACCCTACTGACTTGGAGAATGGGAGACCCATTTTCCCCATTTTCCCCACCCGACAGTGAACCTGCAGATGTACCGAGTGGCCCTCTGGTGACGACTGCGCACGGGCCCGTGACGGCAAGTCCGCGACACTCGCGCCACATCTCCGCACAGTTGCCTAGACCAACACCCGTTCAGCTCAGACATCTCTGCAGACGAGGAGCCCCCAGCCTGTTCCTGTCCAGTTTCCAAGCTGCTGGTGGCCATGCGGCAGCCTGGCAGCCCTTCTCCCAAGGACACCCTCCGGGCAACAAGCGGCCTCAAAGAACTTGTGATCAGCGCTTAATGTCTCCCACTTAACCATGAACAGATTCTGGAATCACAGACTTTTCGAGAGCATCTCCAGTAGGAGCGACAGAAACCAAAGAACAAAGGAAAAAAGAACTCAGAAGAAACAGAGACAACAGGAGCACAGAAGGAAATTCAAACAAGAATAAATTACATCCTCAGGGAGATAAGACTTTTCATGCATGACACAAGAATAAATTGCTGTTTTTATTTAAAAATGATTTGTTAAAGACCAGAAAGAACTTTTGGATGTTAAGAGCATGACTGTTTAGTTTTTTTTTTTTTTTTTTTTTTTTTTT